TCAATTATACGTTAATTTTTAGCAGTTTCATTTCCAAGGATATGCTTAGAAATGAAACTGCTAATGATCACTAAAGTTAGTAGTACTCTCTTAAGTGTTAAAATAGAGTCCAGAAGTGGTAGCACAGGCCTGTAATCCAAGCACTTGATAGGCTGAGGCAGGAGAATTGCTGGGATTTCTAGGCCAGCCTAGAGTTCAAGTCTGGCCTGAATCACATAGCAAGACCATATCTCAAAAAGCAAACAAAAATAAATTAAGTGTATATTAAGGTAGAAACTTGGTTTCAAAACCTTGGGGGAACCACCTTAACTACCCATAACCAACTTTGAAAACTGTCTGGAATTTTACAATTCTTGCTGTTTTCTTTGCCAAAATACCCTGGGTAGGTTGTGGTTTTGTTGGCCATGAGAAATAGTTTTCTTTGTTTGAGAATGTCTTAAACATTTGCTTTTCTCTTTCACTGCTTTTTGAAGAGGTTCTCATCCCACATCTGGGTGGTGAAGATTTCCTTAGCTCATCTGCTTCAACCCATCTCATCGCTAGGCTCAAATTACTGGTGGAAGTGGTAGAAGCTACAGCACAATTTGAGTGTAACATGATCAGAAAGATCTTAGCAAAGTCATTCTGATAAGGCAGAGATGGAGTTGATGGGAGTGCTACATATTCTCCAGGGAATGAGTATGGTTTAAAAAACAACAACAACAACAACAACAGTATTAGAATGAAATATTGAATTCTAAAGGTTGAACATTTTCTTACTGCTTTTGTAAAACTGAATTTAAAACATGATGTTTGTGCAAATAAAAATAAGGAGTTCTGCTCCCCAGGGCATGGCCACGTCTTTTGTGCTCTCTGAGCTGTGCACAGTGTTCCAGAGCATGTTTGCAGCAGCATGGCTTTGCACATGCCATTTTCCTCCCTTGGATGTTGCCTCACGATTAACATTTTTTTGAATGCTTGAGTGTGCTCTAGTTAGGGCAGGAAGACATGATGGTGAAAAGATCAGTTGGTCCCTAAAAGAAGTACTGAAGAAAACTTCACACACTTGTCGAATAGTAATTGGGGAAAGTGTACAGAAGTTATAGTATAAGGTGCTATTCTTGGATAGAAGGGGCTAACTAAAAGTTAGGGGAGGTTACACCTGAGGAAATGACTTTTCAGCTGAGATGTAAAGAATTAGTAGACATCAACTTAGAAACTGGGGAGTTTGAGAAAGAAATGCTTGTTTAGAGATGATGGGGACACCTTGATCTTAGCACCTGTGGCAAGAAGGAATGATCCAGAAATAAGAAGGTGATTAGCAGTAGTTAGCAAGAGGGAGAAACAGCAGCTGGTTTAGAAGAGCTAAGCAGAGATCCACTGAATTTTGGTATATTTTTGTACTATATCTGAAAAGCAATGGAGAGTTTTGGAGATGTTGAGTGTGGTTGTGATGGAACTCCCAGCCTGCTAGATGTAAGATGTGCAGAGTTCATGTCCCCTGAAGTTGAGGAATGAATTCTAAAGGACAGAGGAGGTTAAGAGCAGGAGAAGTTTGGGGGGTGGGAGGAATTAGGAATGGGGAATAGGAATAGCTCCAGAGAGACAGAAGGAGTCCTGAGTAGGTTTCAGCCAAGGTCATCTCTCTAGAATGTTTTATAGGGCAAAGTCACAAGGTGAGTAAAATAGGTCAAACTGTTATCAACCAATAAGATTACAAGTATAGAGTATATGCAATATCTATATTTTTTTAAATGTATTTAGTACAGAGTGTACAGGTTCCTACTACATAGATCAGACTTGTAGTGATCCTTCCTGTTTTTCAGCCTCCCAAGCACTGTGATTACAGGTGTGCACCACCACGCCCAGTCTCATTCCCATCTCAGTGCACCCCAGGTGTGGGGCTGGTGCAGCAGGCCAGGAATCGAATTGCCGGCCCCTACATCTGCCTAAACAGATACTTTAATCCGCTGAGCTATCTAGCTGGCCCAGTATATGCTATATGGATAACATCATTAACCTTGGTCAATAACTTACAGTTTTAGAATTGTTTTCAGTCTCTTTTCATAGTCTTAATCTTAGTGGATGAGAGAGGATAGCCCACCCCTATTGAGATAATGGTTTATTTCTGTGGGAAATCCAAAAATGGTGGTACCAACCAGTATAATCTCAGGCTTCCATTCATACTTTAGAGAAATATGTCAGTCTGGCCATTATGACTTGAATTTTGAGGGCTTGTCCTCTTCAGATGTACCTTCAGCCACACTTTTGATATATTCTCATCTGCGTACTTGAGAACCCAGTCCCTGTCCGACTACATATTTGATTTTTATCTAACTTAGATAACTCTAATAATTACAAGTTCATATTAATGTTTGAAAATGGCAACTTTGGCTATTTTGTGATGAGAAATTAATGGACTAACAAGGCTATGCACATGTGCTTGTTAGATTGAGTCCAGGGGAGTGATGGTGGTGGCCTAGGGCAGGTGGTTAGGACTTGGGATGGAGAGAACTTAAGGGAATCTTGATTTGGAGCTTGACTTGGGAGGACTTAGCAAAAAATGGATTATGTGAGAAGTGTCAAGGATGACTCAGATTTGTAGATTCACTCACGTATGTATAATAGTCATTTTACTTGCGATCTTTAAGGGACACTAGAGAAGAGCAAGTTTTGGGGTTTTTTCTTTGGTGGAACCAGGGGTTGAACTCAGGCCCTTGTGCTTGCCAGGGAAGCGCTTATTTCACTGAGCCATCTCCCTGGCCCCTTGAAGAGCAAGTTTGGAGGCAAAGATCAAGAGCATTTTGAAAGGATTTTTCTCTTCTTTACCTCAAAAACTCCTACTCTCCCAAGATTCTGCTCAAAATTGCCCTTCTGTGAAATCACCCCACAAGTCTTATTACCAAAGAGAGTAGCAAATTGAACTCTTGTGTCACTAAACTTCCATTTGTACTTTTCCATTTTATGATTTTCTGTATTTGCCTGTCTCCCTCACCAGATTATGATCCTTTGGCATGGAAATTTTTGGTTTGTTGTTGCTCTTGACATCTTGTTTTCTACTGATTTTTATGTGTTAAAGACTTCCTTTATCTTAGATCTGAATAGTACTGGAGTAAGTTAATATTTCTTTACTATATTAATTTTGTTTTGTTTTCCTTTTTGTGCTAATGTGAACTGGAATCTCTGGGAGGGCATAAAATATGCAGGATTTACCTCAGATCATTTAGTTTCCGCTTCCTCTCTACCAGTTATTTTCTGAGCATCTCATGCCACTAATGTTGAAGGTAAGAGGTGGAAAGGACACTGTGGGAGATGCTGATTGGTATATGGGCTACATGTGAGAGTCACAGAGTGTGGACTACAGGAAGAGATACCCTGTTTCCTGGTGGAGAGCAATTTCTTGGTATCTTTGGGAAGCTCATTTTGCCTGTAGTTGGTTCAGATCTTTACTCTTACCTCCAACAATCAAACTTAAAAGTACTAGAATTTATTGTTTCTTGCCAGGCTAAAAAAAAAAAAAAAAAAAAATGACTGGGCATGAGGAGACAAATTCTGCTTTGTTTCTTTGTAGCTGTGCTGAGAAGAGCTGATCAGAAAGTTCACTGGTCCCCTTATCCATACCCCAGCACACATGCCTTTGGCCCTTTTATTTATGAACTTCCTAAACTCCCTAAACTGTGCCTTTCTTTTTTAGTGTATGTGCTGCCGAAGCAAGCACAAAACTGTACCTTTCTTACTCTACCTGGTTTTTTCATAAAATAAAGTTTTATTAGCAACTTCTTTGGTTAAAAAATGTTCAGTACTTTTCTCAGACTATTTATATCTGTTATGGTTGGATGGTGTGCAAAACCTAGATTTCAGGAAATATGGACAGGATAGAGTAGATGAGAAAGATACTTCTCTCTCTCTCTCTCTCTCTCTCTCTCTCTCTGAAAAATACCATATGTGAATATATTTTAGAAGGGAATTCTTCAAAAGTGACAGTGCTCAAGACAGTTCATTTTTAGAGTAGAACTTAGTGGAAAGGTTTACCAGGTACAGTCTCAAACAAGAAATGTGTTTGTTTTTAAACGTATTTTATTTTGTAATGCCGAGTGGTGTTACATTGTTGGGAGATTAACTGCTGGTATCTTTCTTATAATCATGTAGAATGGGTACATGCCTTTGCTCTGAAATTTTTATTTGACTATAGAGTTAATGAAAATAATTCTGTACACTTTTCATATATTTTTCAGTAATGTGTAACACAGCCAAAATTAGTCGGGTTAAGATATAGTGTCCACATCTACATCTATGCTCTCATGTCTTAATTTCTGTGTTTTCATTGACTTGTCCTTCCATATAGAACATGTTTATTTTCAAATTGATGTAGTTTAAGATGATGGAAATTTTGATCTTTAGTCCTGTACTAGAAGTTACTAGCTTCTGTCACCAGTGTAATATTCCCTTTGCTAGCAGTGGCCATTTTTAGAACTGAGCCCCTGAGGTCACCATCAATAGCAGATCAAAAAAAAATCTGTGAATAGAGAATACTTTTTCTGCATATTTTAAGAAACAACTGAAGTAAGGAGGAACACTGCTAAATATACTCTTAACAGCTGTGATAGGGACTGTATGAGTAGTATGTAATGATTTTTTAGCAAGAAAAACAGCTGCAGGGGCTGGGGAGATGGCTCAGTGGAATAAGCGCTTCCCTGGCAAGCGCAAGGGCCTGAGTTCAATCCCTGGTTCCACCAAAAAAAAAAAAAAAAAAAAAAAAAGAAAAAAAGAAAAAGAAAAACAGCTGCAATTTTAATACTTCTTCCTTAGTGATCATCTCAGGGCTGCATGTACCCTTAAAGAAAAAAGATGGCATAGACTTATCCAGATCTGGCAGTCTTCACTAATTGGAAAAGCAGGGGTTCAAGATGCATTTTTGGGGGGTGGGCAGGTATACTTCACTCTATACTTTGAGTTTCTTATAAAACACTTATTGGCTAGGAAAATCATTCTGATTATAGAAACTCCGCTATGTGTTTCAGGTCGGTCTTCCCTCTTTCCCTTTGAAGACGCCTTCTTGGATGATAGCCACGGTGACCAGGCCTTGTCATCGGGTTTGAGTTCTCCCACTCGCTGCCAAAATGGGGAACGAGTGGAGCGCTACTCCAGAAAGGTGTTTGTCGGAGGCCTTCCTCCTGACATCGATGAAGGTATGCATTCACTAATGACCCAACGAAGTCTGGGTTTGTGCTTTGTGTCAACTGACATTGACTTTCCAAGTCAGCTGTAAGATATTTATATCAATGTGTAGAAGGTGAGAATATTTGATAAATGAGGAAATAATAGATTATACAAATCAGGCCTATAGTTTGGATATGGCCATTGCAGGAGTCTTTCAACAGTTTCTTATTTCCTACTACTTAACGTAGGGATAATAATGAGAACTAATACATATGAAACTTTGACTCTTAAGTCCATTGTTGTGCTAAGCATTTTACATTATCTCATTTAATACTCATACCTGTCCTATAAGGTTGTCTCAGTTACTCTTGTCTTGTTGCTGGGACAAATACCCGACACCCAAAATGAAGGAAGGAAAGGTTTATTTAGCTCACAGGTACTGGCGGTTTCAGTCCATACTCGCTGGCTCAAAGGCAGAGCGACTTGTGGCAGAGGGCAGCAATTCAAGAGCAAAAGCAAAGTAAGGAACAGCAGCAGCTCCTCTCCCCTCCTCACATTGTAATGCAAATTACCTGCCCAGGGCAGGTGCGGCATCCACACCCACAATAATGAATCACAAACTCCAGAAGCTGCCTCAAGATTGCATGAGGCTTTGGGGGGACACCTAGACACAAACTGTAACAAAGGTATATGCTTTCATCTTCCTTTTAGATGAGGAAACCAAGGATCACAGAGAATTCGTCCAGATTATGTAGCTAATGGTGTGGTTAGAAATCAGTCCAATTGTAGAGCTTTTTTCTCATGTTTATCACACCCATCATATTTTACTGTAAATATCTATTAATGAAAAGCATATCTCCCTCTTTAAAAGAATGAAGAGGAATTAGAATTGTTAGTGATAGTTTTGAGATACTGCTAGTCCAAAATACAAGTAAATTTTCTCGTGTGCCTAAACTCAAGGAAAGAATTCCTTTTAGTACATACTAAATAGTAAGTATTTGTTGAATGCATGGATAGAATAAAATTATGACAAAGCTAATTTAAAGGAAGAAATAAAAACTACTTCAGCAGGCTTTAGACCTACTATAAAAATATTGTGAGAACAGGCTGGTTTTGCCAGCATTATTCTAGCTAAGACACTTGGTTAATTCATCATGTTTTTCTTCTTTTTTTAAAAAAAATTTATTTATTTATTTATTTATTTGTTTATTTTTGTGTTTTTCTTCTTGAGAGAAGAAAATAATCTTTTGTTTATTTCTGGGTTTTTTTGTTTTTTTTTGTTTGTTTGTTTGTTTTTAGAGGGGTCTCCCTATATATTTCATGTTGACATTGAAATCATTCTGTAACCCTGGCTGGCCTCAAGCTCACAGTGATTCTTCTGAGTGCTGGGTTTAAAGGCATGCATGCATCAGGCCAGCGAGATAGCTCAGTGGGCTAAAGCACCTGAGCAAGCTGTGGCAGGCTCAGGGAGTGCAGTCCGCTCCCACGCACCACATGCACAAGGGAACTAATACACATGAGAACTAATGCATATGGAACTGCCACACTAGCCCTGCACCCAGGGCGGGCTGAGTCAGCCACAAAAGAAAAGGCATGCATTGCCACATGCAGCAGAGAAGAAGTTTCTAAGAAATAGTTTTATTTTAGACTTATTACCTTAAAATGGTATATAACTGGAGATTCATTTTCCTTCAGACTATTTTTATTTTTGTATTAATATATTATTGATCAGATTTTCTTTAAGATAAATTCTTTATTGTAACTGAGAGAGTGATACATTAAACCTGATTTGAGTGAAAAGTCAAAAAGACATTCTTTTTTTTTTTTTTTTATTTTTTTTTTACTTTTTTTTTTAAATTTTTATTTATATATTTGAGAGAGAGAGAGAGAGAGGCCAGCTCAGCCCACCAGGGGGCGGGCTGGCTGGCATGTGGTGCTGGGGGATTGAACCGCGGTCCCTGATGCTTTTGCTAAGCTTATTCTAAGTAGGTGCTTTAGACCACTGAGCCATCTCTCCAGCCCCTTTTTTTTACTTTTGAGACAGGGTCTTATTATGTAGTTCAGGCTGGCCTTGAACTCACTTTGTAGCCTAAGGTAGCATTCAACTCATGGTGATGCTCCTGCCTCAACCTCCCAAGTACTGGCATTACGGGTGTGTGCCACACTCCTGGTCAGAAAGACCAACTTACTGAACTACTCTTTATAAAGTATATAGTATGTATGAAAGACATCACTACCTTTTAATATTTTTCCCACCAAATAGAATTACCTACTTATTGCCCCTCTGCTTCTCATCAAGTGAATCAATTTACTTCTAAAAGGACTTAAAGATTTCATAGAAGTATAAATGTTTTCTGTACTTTCACTCTTTTGTGGAAACAGAACATTCCTATTTTTAGAATCATTTTATTTGATACAGAGGTCATCTGAGCTAATACTATAAATTTTTCTTCCAAATTCTTCGTCAAAGTATTTGGCAGCAAAAGAAACAAATAATAGAAATAAACTTGGCGTGGCTAAAGATGAGCAACAGAATGTATGTTCAAGTCATAATGTTTAGGTTTGATCTCTAGTACTTTTTGAGAAAAGTCTTCAAAATATTTTTTTGGGGAAAGTTTTTGTTTATTTTTGCAGTGCTGGGGATTGAACCGGGCCCTTGTGCATGTTAGCCAAAACATTCTACCACTGATCTCCACTCACAGCCGACAAAGTATCTTAATAAAAATATGTATTTTGTGCTTTTCTGATTATAGTTTTTTTTCCCCTCTTCTGCTAACATTTCTTATTTGTTTTGTAGATGAAATCACTGCCAGCTTTCGCAGATTTGGGCCTCTTGTGGTAGACTGGCCTCACAAAGCGGAAAGCAAGTCATATTTTCCTCCTAAAGGTACTGCACTTACAATATCTCTACTGCCTGCTTGTTGGAGAGATACAGTTCAATACAGGGCAGTCTTTTAATTCTGGAAACAGCAGTTGATTCCCCAATCCCAGCTAAGAAAATATTTTAACATTGATTATCCTTTTGTGTCTTATGTTTTGATCTGAGCATTCTTCCTATTTTATTGGCAATGAATCTGCAAGTCTGATGTGGATGAGGTTTGTGATATATATATAATATATAGATATATTTTACTTTTAGAGAAAAGATCTAGACTTTTAGGGGTATCAGCAATGACAAAGGAAAGGATTACTTAATATCAGATTTTATTTGTGTATCATAGCTTGGTGGTTTTTATAAATCTTTTAAATTGCAGACTTGGAAAACCTAATGGCTGAAGAATGGCATTGCATGAAATTCCCTTCATCCACCTCAGTGTCTTAAGTAATTTAACTTGTTTAGGGGCTGGAAGGCAAACTAGCAAAAGATTCCTCAAGTGATTTCATTTCCCTTATTTTTGGAGGCTCTTCTGGCAATTTATGAGGTGTTGAAAATATGTTGTTTTATCTATTCATGATTTGTCATTACTGCAGAATCTAGTGATACTATTAGTATGTTCCTAGATTTATATACAAGTATGTTTTGGACTAAAAAGAAAATTTTCTTCTGTATAAAGAAAATTTTGTGTTCTGCAGATATGTTCTAAAACTATTTTCTGTCTCAGAAAAAAAGGATTTTTTTTGTGTGTCACTGTGTAACATTCATTACTAGAAAACAGAGTTAAAATACTTCTTCCTATTCCTGTGTAAGAACCAAATCAAAGCTTAACTTGGGGAAGACAGTTCCGGTTTATTAGTTTTTTGTTGTTTTACCTCTCTCTCTTTTTTTTAACCAGGGATTGAACTCAGGCCCTTGCACTTGCCAGGGAAGCGCTTATTCCACTGAGCCATCTCCCTAGCCCCATGTATCTCTCTCTGTAACCCTCAGTTACAAGTGATGTTGGTTGTTTTAGCATTGTTAATTCTCTCCAGAAAGCCAAAAATCTCTTACATGAAAAAATTAAGCTTATGTTAGTCAAAAAAGAAAAAAATCATCATGCTATTTCAGCAAAACAGTGTGATCATATGACTACAGATACACATTACTGTAAAAACATAAATTTTCCTTTCTTTCTTTCCTATCTTTCTGAGACAAGATTTCACCATGTAGCCCAAGCTGACCTCGAATTTGTAGCAATCTTTTTGCCTCAGCCTCCAAGTGCTGAGATCACAGGCATGCACTACCACACCCAGCTAAAAATTAGTTTTCTAGTGCCAGTTCAATACATCAGGGAAGGATTTTTTTTTTCAGTGAGTGAATGAATGTATTTATCATGTTAGTACATGTAACACATTCTGTAAAATGATATGTTTAAAAGATATTTGTAAGAGTGATAGTTACAAAAAATGCTGAGATTATAAAAATGGTTCTGACAAAGAAAGTGTCTTATGATCATAGAAATGAAAAGGAAGATAAACATTTATATGTCATGTCCCAAGCAAATTATCCCAAATCTACTTCTATTAGATAATTGCTATATTCATTTTGCTAAATATTTTTCCAATATTTCTTTCTAAATGTATACATTTATATGAAGTTTAAAACTTTGCATAAATAGATCACATTATACATGTCTGTAACCAACCTATGCTCTCCTTAATGACCACAGTTTTATTTAGCCAAGCCAATTAAAGGTATTTAGGTTGCTTACCCTTGTTTTCTATTATGAGTCACACATCAATGACTATCCTTGTGTCTTCATCTCATATTCATTCATTCATTCATTCATTCATTCATTCATTCATTCATTCAATTTATTTGTAAACCCAGGGCCTGAAAAACACTAGGCAAGTACTCTACCACTGAACTATAACCCTGGCTGGCCGGCCATCCATCCATCCATCCTTCTATCCATCCATCCATCATACCTTTTTGAGACAACGTTTCACTATACTTGAACTCATATTGTAGTCCAGGCTGGCCTCACAGCAATCCTCCTGCCTCAGTCTCCAGTTCTGGGATTAAAGGAGTGCAGTACCATGCCTGGCCCTCTAGTCTTAAACGTGAACTCCTGCAAATGAGACTGAATCTTTATATGGATGGTCAAGCTGTCCCTAAGACGCTCATACCCATTTTATCTTCCTAGTACTTAGTTTGCAAAACTCACTATTGCCACAGGTCTAGGGGAATGTCCAATTTTTGATTCTTTGCTAATCTGAGATTGAAATGACTTTTTTTGGGGGGGAGGGAGGGCGTTTCTTTTTCTCTTTATTGGCTGGCTGGCGCTCACTCACACATTCTCTCTCTCTCTCTCTCTCTCTCTCTCTCTCTCTCTCTCTCTCTCT